ACTTCTCCTCATTTCCCTCCTTTTCCTCTGACAAAACAGGAGAGGAAAAACAGCAAAAATCGACCTGGAAATGGCACTATTTTTATTAAGGGGAATAACTGCAAAAATGCCAATTTGTCAAAATGGTTTTTTGGGTTTTTTAAGAGGAGGTCTCTTGAGGCTTTTCCTGAAACCTAACAAGTGTTTTTAACAACTTCCATGGGCAGCTTTAACACCACAAAGAGAGAGGTGCTAGACCATCACATGACCAGAAATGAGATGGTTATTTTGCAATAACTCTGAGCACAAAATAGGCTTGAACCACATCCTCATATCGACTGTGGGCTGGTTCAAGGACCAGAATTCAGAGTTTGCCTTTGCCAAAGGCTGTAATTGCGTTTGGGTGAGCATCCCAGTGAGGACACCCCCACCAGCTCTTAACCTCAGCCTGGCAGCGGCTGTGTCCTCAATTTTAGCTCCTCACATCCCAAATCTTTCTCCTCTTGCTGTGGAGGCTCACAGGGAGAAATTTTTCATTGATCCTTATTTGACTTTGGCAAAGTTTATCAGTGTATCCCTCAAACTGAGACACATTTTACCTAAGCAACTAAACTCTACAAAGAACACTGTTGAAATCAAGCTCTTCAGCAGCCGGGAATTTACTGGAAAGCCAAGAAAATGCAACTTTTTTTCATGTCAAGGTTCCTCTAGAGCTGATTAGTTAAACTACCTTTCATCTAAAGATACAAAATGAGCTGCCCAGAGAAACAAATCCTGACTTCTAGCTAGGGTGGTTGTATAAAAACATTTCAAATGTTCACAATGTTTCAAAAAGGGTTTAAGCTGTTGAGTTTTTACACTGAGGAACTGCAGGGGCCTGGCTGCACTTCAGAAACCAGAAGAAATAGAGTGAGTAAAGTGTTTGTATAAATATTAGTCTTTCTTATATATATATTTACTTTAAAACTTACATTGATTCCACATTGTGCCAACTGCCCATTCTCCAAGGTATTCATCAGAGAAAGGAAATTTTTAAAAAAAACAAACCCAATCCCACAAAACATTAAAATGCAAAGACAGGCCACCTCTCACAGGTAGACAATAAGTCCAAGCCCCAGGCACACGTGGGAGATTCAGAACTTTCTCATGTGCACTTAGCTCCAAGGAGCAAGAGATTCATTGCACAGATCCAGGGACAAAATGCACCTGGATGTGTCTGCATCCATAAAGTGACTTTGTACCCTCTGCAGCCACACAAAGCAAGAACATTTCTTCCACTGTCACAGACTCACAGAATGTTACAGGTTGGGAGGGACCTTAAAGCTCATCCAGTGCCACCCCTGCCATGGCAGGGACACTTCCACTGTCCCAGGCTGTTCCAGCCTGGCCTTGGGCACTGCCAGGGATCCAGGGGCAGCCACAGCTGCTCTGGGCACCTGTGCCAGGGCTGCCCACCTTCCCAGGGAACAATTCCTGCCCAAAATCCCATCCAGCCCTGCCCTCTGGCAGTGGGAAGTCACTCCTCATCCTGTCACTGCACACCCTTGCCAAAGTCCCTCTCCAACATCACCACAATTTCTCTACAGCAAAGGAGAATATTTGGGTACCAGACTCGGCTGCTGGAGGGTCTCCCATGCCAGGACCCCGGGCAGCACCCCCTGTGCCCTGGGTGTCCCACCCCCAGCCCTGCCACCTCTCTGGGGGTGGCTTGGATTCCTCCTTGCTTCATCAGCGAATGCACGATTCCACCTCCCGGCCAAAAGAAAGCACAGGATAAAGGACACTTCATCATGGTCTCACAAACACCACAAAGCACATCACACAGCACAGCAATGTCGGGGCCTGGCGCTTCTCTAACGAAGCAAGGTAAAGTGGCAGCATCAGCAACGACACGTGTGGTGACAGAGGCTTCCCCCTCGGGGACTCCAGCAAGCCCGGACCCCTCTTTGGATGAAAATCCCACCCCATGTAAACAACTCGTGTGCAAGGGGGGAAAGCAGCACCCCATTGCCCAGCTGGACAAGGAGAGCCCTTCCTTGGCCTCCCAGGCTTTGGGGTGCAAGCCACCCCAGCTGTCCTCGCCACCCCCAGAGCGCCAGCCCTGCCCCGGTCACATTTTTGGGGGGTGAGGAAGGAGGGAACGGATTGCCTGGGTACCCCCATCCCTGCGACAGCCCCAACAAGCCTCACCTAAAGTTTCTTTCACCCCGCAGGTTCTCAAAGCGCTTCTGGAGCCGGGGAGTGCCCGGGGAGTGCCCGTGTCCCTGGTCCCGGGTCCCTGGTCCCGTGTCCCTGGTCCCGGGTCCCCCGGCCGGAGCTCTCCTCCCCCGCGGTGCTGAACGCGGCCCCCGTTATTGCATAGCATCGCAGGCCCTGATTTCAGGGGATGGGCACAGCCACCCCTGGCGTGGGGACCAGCCCCGCCGGGGGGGTCGCGACACCTTCCTCCCCATCCCCCCGCTCCTGTGGCCTTCCCGTGGGATGTGCCCCCGAGGCGTGGGACCACCCGGATGGGGCCCGCTGCTCCCCTGGCTCCTTACCCCGAGAGCAGACAAACGCCATCGTGCGAGGATCCTTTTTCTTTTTTTTTTCTTTCTTTCTTTTCTTTTTTTTTTTTTTTCGTGTTTTGTGTTTTTAAATAAAAAATAAAATGTGTAAGAAAATAACATTTCTAAAGGAAACCATTATCATTCTACTCTCTCTCTTTCTTTTTCCCTTTTGCTTTTTCTTTTTTTTTTCTTTTCCCTCTCTCTTTTTGGCCATCTTTCCATGGAACGAGATGTGCTGACCGGGGAGGGGGACTCCTCCCGGTAGGAAACAATAACGACAGAGGGGAAAAAGAGAAGGAGGAGGAGAGCCAGGGAGCACCTCTGGCTCCGTGCTCAGTCCTCACACGTCGCTGGATGTCCTTGGTCTGGAGGAGAACGTGGAAGGGATGCACCCGCAGCAGGCCAGCCAGAGCGACTTCTGGATGTCTGGGTTTCTGAAGGCGTAAATGATGGGGTTGATGAGCGAGTTGCAGGTGGCGGGCAGCGCCAGCGAGTAGGTGTAGACCGCGGGGTAGCTGGAATCGGCCACCAGCGAATAGATGGCGAACGGGATCCAGCACAGGGCGAAGGTGCCGAGGATGAGCGACAGCGTGGAGAGCCCTTTGCGGGTGGAGGTGGCCTGCGCCGTGGCGATGAACTGGTGCTGCACGGCGATCTGCTGGGCGTGCCGGAAGGCGATCTTGCAGATCTGCAGGTAGAGCTGCATCATGAGGGCGAAGAGCAGCAGGAAGGTGACGGCCAGCACGGCCGCGTTGTCCTTGGTGACGGGCCGCAGGATGCTGCAGGAGCTCTGGTCCCGCAGGCAGTTCCAGCCCAGGAGCGGCAGTAGCCCCACGCCCAGGCACAGCAGCCACATCAGCAGCACCATGGCGCAGGTGAAGCCCAGCGTGCGCTCGCTGTGGTAGGTGAGCGCGTTGTACAGCGACAGGTAGCGGTCCACGGTGATGGCCAGGAGGCTGCAGACGGAGGCGGAGAAGGCGGCCAGCAGCAGCCCCGCCGCCGCCAGCTCCGCCGCCTCGCTGGGCGGCCGCAGCAGGTAGCGCACGGCGAAGTTGGCCACCAGCCCCAGCCCGGCCAGCAGGTCGGCCAGCGCCAGGCTGCCGATCAGCAGGAACATGGGCGCCCGCAGGCTCGGCGTGTAGAACAGCACGGCCAGCACCAGCGCGTTCTCGCCCGCCACCGCCGTGCCCGTGGCGCACAGCGCGATGTCCCAGGGGCTCACGGACCCCGCGGCCGCGGCCCCGCCGCCCGGTGCCGCCGTGCCCGGCCCGGCCGCCGCCGCCGAGGGCCAGGCTGGCGGTTCCGAGGCGTTGCCGAGCCCCGGGAGCCGCTGCTGCTGCGGCTGAGGCGGCCACGGCTCCCCCATGGCGGCGGGGCCGTGCAGCATCGCTGGGGAGAGAGGGAGAAGGGGGCGGTGAGAGACCGACCCCGAGCCTCCGGAGAGCCGCCGAGCCCCGCGCTCTGCCCGGGCAGCGCCACGCCGAGCCGGCACCTCGACCCTGCTCTAGGTGGGGGAGACCCTCACCGAGCCCGCACCTCGACTCTGCTCTAGGTGGGGGAGACCCTCACCGAGCCCGCACCTCGACCCTGCTCTCGATGGGGAAGATCCTCACCCCGAGCCAGCCGCGCGTTCCGGAGCCCCCCGCCCCGGGACACCGCACCCCTCACCCGGCCGCCCCCGCCCGCCGCATCCCCCCGCAGCCCCACTGCAGCTTCCCTGGGATGGAGCCCCCCCATTCCCCCCGCCCCACACGCACCCCTGGCCCCGCTATCCCCCGCCGGGCTGAGGCCGAGCACAACTCATCGCCCCGCTGCCCGCAGCCGCCTCCATGCGCTGGGCTCCACGCAGGGTCCGCAGGCACTGCGCACCCGGTGAGGAACCGGCCGCCCCCTCCTCCTCCTCCTCCCCGGGGCACGGCCACCTTTGCTACCTATTTATAGCGCAACCCCTCAGCCCCCCCCTCCCGCAGCCCTTTCTTTTTTGCGTGCAGTGAGTAAAAATAAACACTATTAATAGGCCAGCGCCTGTATGCGGAGCCGCTGATGGAAGGAGAAGGCAGCGGCGAGGGACAGCCTACGTTAAGTTTCTCCTTCCTCGCTGCCTTTCCCTCCTTTGGAAAAAGGCTGGTGCAAGATGCTCCCAGCCGGCGGCAGCATCCTGCCCTGCCTGGCGGAGCAAATCCCCCGCCCGGGCTGGGCAGCCGAGGTGTGAAGGTCGGGGCTGTGCCCGCAGCCCGCTGTCATCCCCCGCCGCCACCATCGCCCCTTCCCGCATGCAGCCGCCACGCCGGGGGTTGTTGTTTTACCTGGTTTTAATGCTCGAGGATCAGCTTGCTCCCCCCACCCCGTTTTTATTTTTTTCCTCGCCGGTCCTTCCAGCCCTTGGTGCGAAGCCTCATTCCTCGGCGAGCATCGCTAATAGCGTTGGCAGAGAGCTGGCATCGACTTGCACTTAATATTCCTGCCCCATTGGATCTGCTGATAAATCTCAACTCTGACGTCAAAGTCTTCACTTATATTCATGATCCAAGTCTGTGAATCAGAGCCGCTGTGATCAGAATAACAACAAGGCTGGCTCCGCGCTCCACATCCCCATCCACACCCGCAGGCACGCGGGGGGTGCGCGCACCCGCCCCGCCGCTCGTTCATTCATGAGCTCTCCCGCCACCCCGACGCACCTCCCCAAGGTCGGGGCTCGCTGCACCTGCGTCCTGCGGATGCAGCTTGGGCACCAGCCAGGCCCCGGCTCCTCGCAGGGTTTATTTTTACCGCTTTTGTGCCGAGGGACGCGGGGATGCGAAGGGAGGGCGGCGATCCGGCGTGGCGCGGCTCCGGTGCCGCGCTCCTCAAGGACAATGTCCAGGACACGGCGGCTGAGGCTGCTCGGGGATCCTGTGCAGCCAGGCTGGGGCAGGGGCATCCCTCCACAGGGAAACATCGCACCCCGGAGCCTTCGCCCCACGCGGGCTTCCCTCCCGCCAGCAAAACGCTGGGATGAGGAGGATCTCACTGGAATTAGAACCTGCCCAAGGACGCTGAGTATGAGGGTCTGTCCCCCTCACCGCAGCACCCACCCGTGCATCCCCAGAGTTCCTCCCCTTGCTTGGGAAAGGAGCAGCCTGGAAAGGAACAAATCCCAAAGACACGATTATTTTTTCCAGCTATAAATGGCTCCGTGATTCATCTTGGGAGCAGGATCATCAAAGCAGGGATGCTCAGCTCCTGGATCCACAGGATTTCAGCTACACCTTCTCCCCTTTTTCCTACTGGTTTCATAACACTCCAGCTTCCCTCTTTCATCCCCCCCTCTCTTCCAGGCTGGGGCTTTGTGGTGCAGCCAGCTCAGCGCTGGGAAGGACTCCCAGCTCCTGATGTGCAGAGATATTTAAGCGAATATCAGTGATTTTTTTTTTTTTTTTGGCTGAATCCAACCGCCCCAATTTGGAGCATCGGGGTCCCTAAGCAGGCCAAGCCCCATCCCAAGGGACTGGAATCGTCATTTACCTGGGCTCGTGACCGAGCGCCGTGAGCCGAGTGACAGCAGCGGCATCAGAAGGGGCGGAGGAAACCCGAGCGAGGAGCTGAATGAATTCGCTCCCGCTCCCGGTAATTACGCACGGCCCGGGAACGGGGAGGCGGCTGGGGAGCAGTGCCCAGCTCCCCTCGGCAGGCAGCGGTGGCGGCAGAGGGGATGAGCCGGCCGTGCCTGGTGGTCTGTGGGGTCAGAGCCCACCCAGGACCAGCCACGAGCCCTGCAGGGCTGGGCAGGGATGTCCCTGCTGTCCCCAGCCCCCGGGCATCAGGTGCAGCAAGGCTGAGCGAGGAGGGGCACACGCAGCACGCAGCAGTGACCCCGGTGTGGCCCTTGTCACCTGGAGCTGCCCCTTGCAGGGACACACACGCTCCAGAGGGTCCCAGCTGATCCCAAACCCCGTGGGATCGCTCACTGCAGCTGCCTCGGCCCCTCTGCTCCATCCAAGAGCACTCTCCCTGCAGAGACCCTCTCAAACACCCGGCATTCCCAGGGCAGCCCCTTCCTTCCCACCTTCAGCTCCTTCCCTCCACATCCCACCGCAAGTTTGCCACAGTCCCAGGATGTTTTTCCTGTGTCCTGCAGAAATACCAGTCCCTGTTATCCAGAAGTGTCCCCTTTCCATACACACATCCCAGTGGATTTCAGCTGCTTGTCCTCCTGCCCAGGGAAGAGCAGCCCCATGTCTCCAATGAGGTTTTTTGGGGGTTTCACCTGTGCAAGGGGGTGCAGTGGATTGGCGAAGCACCCCAAGAATGCTGAGATTTTCTGGTGACAAAAAATGACATTATCTGGTCCCTTTTAAACCAGGGCTTGCTGTCCCCGGAGTTGCATGTGAGAGGAAGAGCCACTGCACACCCTGTTTCCAACGCTTGAGAATCTCCTTTTTGAAGTTGTATTCAATTTTCCGAGCTCCTTGAGTAGCTGCAAGACCGTTCTGGCAATATTCATATATTAGATCTGCTTTATCTGTATTTAAATTACAGACCAAATAGAGAGGAGCAAAGATCGAAGCTGAGCAAAGACACAAACCTGACGCTGTAATTACAGAGCAAGAGGCCACCAGCCTCACCTGGGAATGCTGTTCAGCATGGAAGAAACCTCCCACCTTCATTCCTCATCATCCTCCTTGGTTTTTGGCCCTTGGGGGAAAGCTCAGTGCCGAACAAGGCAGGTTTTCCTATGGCACTGCCCTGTGGGGATGCCGGGTGCTCCCAGCCCACAGCAGGGCTTGACCTGGGGCTCATCCTGCCTTACAATTTGTGCTTTTTTGGGTGAAACAAGTCAAAATCAGAGTGGCAATCACTAATGACGTGGCCGTCCCACTGGGAACCAAAGCTGGAACAAGGGCCGCTGTTTAAGGGCACACTGGTGGTGCAGAGCAATAACTACAATTCCAATTCTCCATCGTTTTTACCTGCAGAAGTATTAAAATCGGCTTTACGTCTTTTCTTTGGGGAAACGTCATCACCTCCCGTCATCCCATCAACTTTTCCCATTCCTGTGGGAGCGTCCTGTAGCTGAGCTGACAAATCCATGAGCTCACTGCCTTGTGACCCCGAGCCAGGCTCCGGAACCTTCCCCCGCATTTTATTTATCCCGGAATCTTTTCCGCAGCAAGCGGATCCAGCCTCGTTCCAGCACCTCCGTTGTTCCCTGTTACTCCGACGGTGCTGGAGGAGCTCTAAGAAGGAAAAGCACAGCTATAATTAGCAGTGCTGACTAATCAGGGTGGCAAATGAGCGCTCGGAGCCCGCCAGCCTCCCCAAAACGGGGCCGTCGGGGGCCGAGAGCCGCTGGGGAGAGCACGAAGCCCTACATTCAAAGGCTTTGCATAATTGCCGGTGGAAATGAGGCCATTTTCTCACTGCTGCCCCTGGAAAGATGGGAATTCTCCCAGTGCTGCTCCAGCTGCAGCATCCCAGCCTGGTGGGGAGGAAGGTGGGTTGGGGTGGTTGAGGTGCTGATGCCAAAGCGGGGCACTGGAGGAGCTGGAGGGTGGCAGGGAGGAGTGTGGGTGATAAAATCATCCAGCTCTGTGGAAAAACAGCGGATTTGCCTGAAAAGCCTCTCCCCAGGTGGCTGGAATGGGCCCCTTCCAGGTCCTGGCTTGCAGGGTGACCTCTGCCATCCCTGCTGCAAACCCGATGTTACCTCTCGGGGAGCCAGGGCTGGATCTTGGGCTCTCCCAGCACCAGGGAACACCTTCCTGCCCCCAGGTGAGCTCTCCCAGCCTGGGGACAGTGGGGACACCGTGTCTCACTGCCCTGCTGCTGTTACACCTGCAGGGAACATTCCCCACTTAGGGGGACAATGCCCAGCTATGCCAGGAGGGAAGGAGCCATTCCAAGGTTCACTCCGACTTCTCCTCTACCAAACAAACACTCAGGCCAAGCCAGGGGGAGGATTTTTGCTCCTTCCATCAGTGATATCATCCCCACACCAATGGTTTTGCTCCAAGTCCTTTCCTGAGCCAGAGGGACACGTGTTGGAGCACCTTTGCTGGCACATGCTGTGTCACCATATGTCACTGAGCAGGGCTTCTGGGAAAAGGTTTTTTTTCCAAAATAAAGGGATTTGCACTGTGTTTTACTCCTTCTCCCAAGCTGTATGTGCTGCTCTGGCTGGGTGCCTCATCAGGAGTGACTGTGTTTCCCTAAATTGCCATTCAACCAAAGGGAACACCAGGAACAAAATATTCAGGCATGTGAGTGTGATAATTAATTACTAACAATAACCCAATTTACCTGATGTGGCACGGAGGTAAGGAAGATTTTCTAGGGGTTTGGATGGGGAAAAATAGGAAAAATGCTTTTAAAAAATTGAAAATCTGG